TTACAGATAGAACTGGGGCACTGCCTCCTAGACTGACTTAGACTGGTCAGTTTAGCGGCAAATTTTGGCAAGTGGATTTGATTCAAGTTTTGGACTTACTGCCAGCATCTATCAACAAAATAAAATTCCCTACGAGCGGCGATGCACCTACAACATTTGGTTTTCATGCTAGCAGCATTGATGACCACATACAAAATCCCCAACTCACCTCAAGAGGTGAGTTGAAAAGTGGACAGATGCTAACGTTGGCCAAAATTCATCAAGCAACTGAGTTAAGTTCTTGACTTTAGCAGAGCAGTCTTCTCTACTGGTTGGCAATCTTGCCAATCAGAAAAAAAACCTGCCTTAAAAATTCTAACAAATCCACTCGCAAAAATTCGCCTCAGGAGGTATTCAAGGCGGATAAAGAATGGCGGTCATATTTCGTACCCTCTTGACGTAAAAACTGCATCGGGTATGTTTTGGGTACATCCTGATTGCATGACAAAGCATGTACCCTCTGCGTCTCACAGCCTTTAAAATGGCGGCTCAACTCGAAATTCGACCACCTTTCTTTCTCCGCCTTGGGAGGTACTGACTGAGGAAAGAAAAAATGAGACAGATCTCACATCAAAGTGCAGCACCATTCAACATTGATTTATGTGGTAACTAATGAGCAAGCTAATGATTGATGCATTCAGGTTGATGTGGCATATGTCTCTTCTTTTCTTTCTCCGGTTCTAATACTGAATGATATTTATTGAATGGGGATGGACTGAGAATTTGTTTAAATATTTCACTATTGATCACACATAAGCATCACATTTAAATACTCACAATCATACAGGGAGCCTCCTTCGGCAAACTCCATAACAAGGCATACTGGATTGTTCGTACACGCACCAAACAGCTTGATGATATTTGGATGATGAACTCTAGACAGTTGCTTAACCTCAACGGTAAAAGCTTTCTTTTCTTTTTCGGCATTGATGTGCTTGACTGCTACGTAAGATCCTCGCCATTTCCCTTTCCATACTGTGCCAAATGATCCCTCTCCAACAACCTGAAGGACGCAAATAATATAAATTAATAGAAAAATAATACAATTCCGCATCTCCTTCTTAGTCAGGAATCAATCAAACAGAGAAGGATATTTAAGATGGACTGGTGAATAAGTACCTACATAGCAAACAGTTGAATGTGTCGACTATTAAAAGGAGACATTAAAAATATGTTGAGAAAAAGTGTTGCTTGTGACTACATAATGCAATCCACCTTATGAATGAAACAATAAATTTTCTGGGAAAATAGTTTAAAGTCTTAAGGTTCAGACTCCTGAAACATTCACTATAAAAAATAGACGGTGAAATGAGAATCTTAAAAGTTGCCTTGGCGAGAAAAATTAAAATAGTCATCCGAGCTGTTTCGAAGAATCTTAAAACATACCTGAATTGGCTCGATCTCACTGTAGTCGATTTCTGTCACGAAGTTTTGAACATCAGTTAAGCACTCCTTGAGCTCCATAGGAACCAATATACATAATAAATTAAGAACTAAATGAAACTTGGAAACATATGCATTTAATAATTTATATTCCTGAGAAAAAAATCACTTGTCAATAAATGAAAACAATGAGGTGCACATGAGTTACGAGAAACCATGATTTCTTAGGTTGACACTTCAAAACCATTGAAACGGAGAGGAAAACTAGGGAATAAAGTTAGATTCAATTAATTCATGGGGGAATCCAAGGGGGCACAAAAAACTGGAAAAACTGGTTTTCGTCTTTTCGTTCACTGATTTTCGTGTTGATCGTGTTCGTGATATAACATAACCTAAATTATTTTGATTTGGAGTCGACTGTTCAGCAGAGATTCCTTCCTTGAGCTCGGAAGGCAGGGAAGGGATGACAAAAATCCTGCCGAATTTCCATCGCAAACTGTCTGGTGCGCAATCGGGAG